CCCCCCATGGGGCCCCGCCCCCGCCCCAGGGTGCCCTGGGGGGGGGGGTACAGCCCCCTATAGGGGACGGGGCCCGCTGCAGGATGAGGCCCCCGGTGTCGGGGGTAGCACCCCTATAGCGACCAGGATCCCGCACGGCGTGCCGCCCTCAAGGTGGGGGACAGCCCGGTGGCAGGGAGCAGGCCCCGGCGCAGGGCAGAGCCCCGCTGTAGGGGATAGGCCCCGGTATGGGGTGCCCGGTAGCCGGTGACAGGGGACGGGCCCCGGTATGGGGTGCACCGGCCTGGTGGCAGGGGACAGGTCCGAACATGTGGCTGAGCCCCCCACTAGAGTAGAACCCCAGCACTGGGGGGGCAATGTCTGGGGAGGGGAACTGGGACTGGGAGGGGTCCCACAGCCTCCTCCATCCCACCCCATCCCACCCCCGGGAGCAGAGGGAAGTCGGGGGCCAGCGTTTACAGGCTTTTGGGGGACACCAGCCCTGGGCAAAGCCGCTGCCGCCCCTGCTGCCTTGCAGGGGAGCTCAATGGGACGCAGCTCCAGGCTGGTGGGACCCACCGGGATAGAAGCTGGGTGGGCATGCAGCCCCCGGTGCCACCTCCAACAGCCCTTTGCTTTCTTCAGCTTTGGAGTTACTCTGATCAATCATTATTCCTAAATCAATTGTTCGGCCATAAAAATTCTCTCCCTGTGCTTGCTCAGGGAAGGAGGGCACAGGCGGGAGAATCGTTTCTCTCGGTGGCACGGGAGCCGCCCGTGTTTGAGCCTTTCAGGATAACATTGGCGGGAGGAGGCACCCCTGTACGCTCCCGCTGCTCTCATCTGGGGGAGATTCACCCCAAAATATTTCCAGGAAATGGACAAATGAGTTTGTGTGGGGTCTTCAGCCACCGGCATCACCCCAAATACCCGTTTCAGCATTTCCAGCCACTCAACTTGATTCTCTCCCAGTTCCAGGGAAACGCCTTGCCCCCAGCATTTGTTGAAAGTATTTTTTTCCTCTGCAGGTGCTTGCTTCTAGAAGAAAACGCTATGATTTTAGAGAATTAGGAAAATAAAATGAGCTACTCTGCAGGTAAAGCCCAGATGCTGCCATCCCGTTCCTGTGCTGCGACAGGGCGCTCCTCCTCCTGCTCCCGGCTCAGGAGGGCAGCAAGGGGCCGTGACCCACGTCCTGCCACTGCATGGAATAAAATCACCCCCAAAGCCCCTGAGGGCAGAGCCACCCTCCCATTTCCTTTTTGCACCAACCCACCACCCCCCGCCACAGAAAGAGGCGACTTCAAGTGCTTTGAGAACACGCAAGTTGTTCAGACACTTGGCTTGAGAATTTAACCCATCCTCTGGAGCGGGAGAGGGCGAAAGCAAATAGGTTTGATTTTATTTCAAGTCGAACCTCCAGCGGTGAACACACCAGGCGTGGTCAGCAGAGACCTGTACAGCTCATGCTATGGAACCGGCCTAGCACCAGCGAGTTAGCAAGAAAAGCCAGGGAATTTCTGCCAGGAAAGCATCCAGCTATGAACCCTGCCCTCCTCTTGCAGGCACGAGTTAATTAGGGCTAATTCACAAGCAGACAACACAAAACAAACCACTCTGCATCACGCATGGGAGAAGGAGCTGCTCAGGGGCGGGTGGACAAAACCTTCCTGCAGTGAAACATTGGCGTTCAGGGCCTGGGAAATGGAAGAGTGACAGAAACACATCAACCAGACAAAAGAAAAAGCCAGGCCCCTCGCAGCATCCTTGTCTGATGCACCCCTGGGTCAAGAGCCCCCAACATCGGGGACCCTGAGACTTTTGGGGAGCTCCTCAGGGTGGGGGGGCTGAGCTCAGCTGCACAACCACCACCCCCCGTCCCCGTGCTGCGGGCTCATTCCTAACAAACCTTGCCCCGTTCCCTTGCCGAGCCCTGTGGAGGAGAACAACGCGTTGCTCCCAAATGCCAAGGACCTGCAGCTGGAACAGGAGCTTAAAGCTGTGCCTCGTGCTCAGAGGGCCTGGAGCAAGAATTTGAGCAAAAGCCATTTCATCCTCACGCTCAACACGTCGCTGGCACAGCAGCAAGCAGCTGTAGGAAACCACTGCCGGTGAAAGCGAGATGCTGCTGGCTGGGCAGGGGGTACCTGGCACAAGGCTTTCGGAGATAAGGAAGACATTGAGAGCAGCAGATGTCACACCGAGCAGCTGTGACAAACAGCCTTTAGGATTAAATACCTGCTATGGAGCGGAACTGGGGTATGTAGCCACAATATGGTAATTTGGGGTAATAAATTCAGCTACGTGCTAAATAGAGTGATTCAACTCACCTTTGCTGTCAAACAGCCCGTTTATTCCAGGGATAATGATCTCCTTCCAGGCAATAAACCAGAGAAGGCAGAAGCCAGCGTTGCAAGGGGCAGGTGCGAGTCTCTGCACAGCTAAGGAGAGGCCAGGAAAAAGACCTCAACCCCAGGGCTCAGGAGGTACGGCTTTCTCACCACCCCCCACACCTCAGCTCTCTGTTCCCTTCGTTAGAAAATGAGAATAATGGCAGCACCTTTGGTAAACGCTTATCAGGCATCTGTAAGAGTACAAACCACAGCGTGCCACTCTGGCGCCAGTCCCCAGCACAGAGGATGAGCTTCATCCGCAAACGTGCTGTTCTTTTAAGGAAATAAAAACATGTGATGGGAGACTTTGGAGGAAAAATAGAGATTTCACCATTTCCCTCTGCCAGATAACTCCGGTTACCTAGGAACAGACACACTTCTCTAATGCGGCCAGTTCTCATCAAGCACAGGATGAGCATTTATTGTCTTGTGATCAGGAGAAAAAACACAAACAAAAACCAGAGCTCCACAAGTGACATGAAACATCGCACACATCCACGCCACGTGATGCCGAACAAAACCAGGAGCCAGGTCCAGGTTAATGGTGTTAAGAAGTCTTAGAAATCTAAGGTAAACATTTAAAAACATAGAGAGGAGTCCAAAAAAAAAAAAAAAAAAGCCAGGGTAGTTCAGGCAGCGTGTTGAGTCAACTTTCTGGAATTACGGTTTCTGGCATCGAAGAGGATGGAGGGGGGATGAGAGATGGGAGACCCCCTACGAAAAAAAGTTCATTTAAGCTCAGAGACCTCAGGCAGTGTATGCTAATGGGTCATGATTTTGGTGTCTGGCTCCCCCCATTTTGGTGGGCAGGCTCCTAAGTACCCCCTCATCCTGCATCAAGCATTTTTGATGTGACTGAACGTGAGTGCCTCAAAACATCCCCCCAGATTATCCAAAGGAAAAAAAAAAAAAAGACAAGAGAAGCAAGACGCAGAGTCCCCGGCAGTGCTTCTCCTCTTGAAATCTCCTCCTTTGAAATCTCCAACCTGACCTGCTGAAGAAGGACAGACACCAATCGCTTTTGAAAAATGTTGGCAAGAGGGTGAGGATGGCGAGGAGCAGGGCTGGAGGGAGCGTGGTACATGGGTTCACCACGTTCTGGCTTCCATGCGTGGCAAACCTCGCATTTGGCCCCGTTAACCTGCCCTCACTCCCCCATAGTGCAATCGTATTTCCAGGCAGTTAATCGACAGGCAGTTCTTTTATCACACGCTGATGGCAAGCGACAAAGAACACTTAAAAATTACACTTGACACAAGACAAAGGCACCTAAAAGCTTGACAACGCGATCAGGTCGTGTTCTGTTGAGAAGGCTTCAAGCGTTCGTACTTACAAGCACATTGCACACTCCCAAGAGAAAAAAAAACCCCTCACGTTCGGAGCACGTTACATATCCCAGACCCAGCAAAAGGCTGGTTCTGCAGCAGGGTGTCAGTGTTGCTTGTAAATGGAAATTCAGGGAGGCTCTGCCTTCTGATTCGTGTTTGCTTTTGCTTTGGCCCTAGTAAGAAAGGTGTCATGCAGACTCCAAGCTGTACCTCACTTAGTATTTACAGTATGACACAGGAAAAGTTAATAGAGCAAATGGGAAGTTCTGCAGGGGTGATGCGGGAGGGAAATTTCTCCTTTGTGAACTAATATTTTATTAGATAAGGCACATGTAGAGACAGTTTTCAAAAGATCACTTGCAAATCAATTCCACCTAGCCAGGACAACTTTTCCTTTCCAGGAGTCAATTTGGTTTTCCAGTTACTCAGTGTGAATTTGGAGTGACTCCACTTACACCATAACAACCCTGGCATCCCAACCGCCAGCCTGTTGAGCCGGGCAGGCTCTGGGGCTGACCCCCGGGGTGCCCAACTCCACAGTGGAGCACTCCATCCTTCAGAGGATCATTGGCCAAAACTTTCAGAGCTGAAGACTTTGAACACTCACTCCCTATAAAAATATTAGCAACTCACCTCCCAGTTTTGACAGGTTTGAAAAAAATTCACAGCGGGTTGTTGAGGGAGAAGAAAAAACTGCAGCCTTTGCTGCTTGGATCACTGTAGGACACAGGGGAACTGGATGGCTCAGGCTACAGGAGTCCTGATGTGCATGCACGGAATGGAGATGAACGACGAGACGGATGCTAGCTCTCAGGGAGAACAATCCCTCCCAACAGCTTTATCCTCTCTTTAGCCGATTTCTTGGAGAAAGGTAAAAAAAAATATCTCTCCTTACTTGTACACGAAAAGTGCTGCTGGCTGTACAGACGCAGAGCAGGTCTGCACAGCTAACGTCAGTTATGAGGACTAAAAGCTTTCCTTGGTCTACCAGACCCCACTGCCTAATGTTTGGATTTCAACTACACTGGTAGAAGGCAGAATTAAAAACTTTTATTGTAATAGAATTACTCCCAAACCACACCAGGGCCCCGGCACCAAGATCAATAGTTATGTTGCATCTGGCTACTGGCTGGGAGCCCAGAAAAAAGGGCGTCCCAACAGGGCAAGGTGTGTTTAGCAGGGCATTTCTTGGGTCAGCACAAAACCTGGATGCCATCTAAGTGGGAGTCAGATGGCGTGGAGATCTCGTGCTGCCTACCTGTAACAGGGTGAACATCACCCAGGTAGCCAGGTCCAAAGCCCAACGCCAGCAAACTTTTCAATAGTTTCCTTTGGGCTTTGAATCAGGCTTTTAGCGAGCAATCGTTAACCCAATGAGATGAATCTGCACCTTCAAAGCACACAGATTCAGCAAAAACTTTTGGCAGCAGGAAAAGCAAGACTTCTAGCATAACAACAGTCCTAGCCAGACAACTGAGGACTCTTGTGGACTTCACATCTGAACACCACTCACCCACAGCAAGCACCGTTATCTAAAGGATTCTTCACCAGAGAGCGCAAGCAAACGAGGTTGTAGGTTTTACGAATACCTTCAATATCACTAGTACCAAATAATTTAGGTGTTGCATTTCCCTTAGAGTGAAAAATTCCAGATTATTCATCCAGGAGAGTAAACACCAGTTGCTACTACCGCTCTGATTGCATTTGTTACAATTGCAGATGACTTGGCGGACACGATGAAAACTAAGCAGGGAGGCCGGAGAAGGAGCACTCGTGTTTGCTGTCGTGGGGAAGTCAGCCTTTTTCACGTACGGTGATGAGAGGATTCCCTCAAGCAAGGGCAGTGAACGGTTGGTTCCTCAGTCTGCAATGAGGCAAATACTGGTAACGCAAACAAAAACTTTTGGATAAGGCCGTGCAGAGCTCCAGAGGTGGCAAGGGCTGACAGCACGTATCTTCTGCAGTGATGAGGAGACAATAAACAAAAAAGTCCCCAAGATGACTGGGGTGCTCTGGGGGGGAATGCAAATGATCTTTTCGAATAACAATAATAAAAAGACCAAAAAGAAGAGAATCCAGGCAGTTTGCAGCTGTTGCTGCTTAAGGCCATTGGTTTCCCGGGGGATAGTTGGGCACTGTGGGATACTCTGGCAGGCTGTTCCCAGAAAAATTGCTGTACTGGGCCTCCCTGCTGGGGGGGTTCCTCCATGTGCCGCTGTTCCACTCGTCCTGAGCTTTCTGAAAGCTTCCACCAGCCCCTCGGTAGATTTTATGTACCTAACGGATGAAAGAGGAAAGTCAGCAACAGATACCCACCCCTCTTCCTCAGAAAAACTATAGTCACTTTGGTACTGTAGTGTGTTATTTGTTTCTCTCTCTATAAAGAGCTATATTTCCAAGGAACAAAAGCACTAAAGATGTAATAATACAGTGAACAGAGGTACAAATAGATAATATCAACCCAAGACATGAACCCATCTCAGCCACATATCTGGGATTCAGGTTGGGGATCCCACAGCAAGGCAGCTAACCCAGGCCAGTGGGCTGAAACCTCTGTAAAACACACACTGCTGCTTCAGCAGGGCTTCTGTCTTCTCTCCTCCTCTGCCACCAGTCTAGTGAAGCTTTCCAGACAATCCTACCTCCAGATCCTTCTTTCTGCAGAGAACCAAGGATCACTTCCCATCCCGCCACCCAAGTCCCACCTCGAGAGGCTTCACCTTTACCATCAAGGACCATCCTGATGAGCAATGAAGCTTGCTTCGAGTGACATAAAGGAACATCGCCACATGAAACGGTGACAACATCCAGCCCCCAGCTGTCCTGTGTTATCTGGATTTGTCCTCTAGGTGCTCTGAGAGACACCAGCTGACTAGACTATAAACCCTTTAAAAGCAGGGATGGCTCACAGTGCCTGCTAAGCTGCCTGTTCACATGATGGCGATATAAAGCGCGGATACGCCAAGTCAGAGAGACAGCTGAAGCACCTACCCTTAAAATGCAGATGAGCATTGCGACCGCTGACATTGTAAACATAATGGCAGGAAACAGCATGAACACAGCAGCTGCAACATTGGTACTAAAGAAAGTAATGGCTGCCAACCATCCGCTGGAAGAAAACAGAAAGAAAGAAATAATATCATTATAGGTCTCTTTTTTTTAAGTGTCCTTATTATCAGAAAAACTGTTTACTCATACCCAGAAATTACAAGGCAGCTTTAAAGCTCTTGAAAATTAAAAGAACAATGGAGCAAATGGACAGAATTAAACATGGCTCAGGCAGGTATTTCCCCAAGATCTCAGATCTTGCTGCCAGCACCCCTCCCTAATCCAGTCTCAGACCTTTAGGGGACAGCCAACTGCACAGACTTTGGGAAGAGACTTATTCCCAAGGTGATTTTGGTTGTGCAGGGGTTGTGCGTCCAGAAACCAGACCTGGGAACGGGGAACACGAGGGTCCTACAATTTACACTGCATCTCCGTTCCTCTGATGGCAATAACCAGGTAGGGCAATTGGAGAGCACCAGCAGTTAAGAAAACAAAATGCTATATGGAGTACTAGG